AGTCTGGACCAAGTGGACTGAAGTTAAAGGAGACTTTGTTGATAAACTGCAGGAACAATCTTCCTCCTGTGACGTTTTCTGGTGAGGCTGAGAACTTTCTAAAGTACCCTCACCTGTTTGTGCTAGTTTAGAGCAAAGTTGGACAAAATTACCAAAATGAAACCCAGTTGTAATAAACCCTGTGATGAGTTTTAACAGTTCTGGATCAGCACGGCGTCCCGATCGTTGCTGAAGAGTCTTTCGTTCTGTCGAACACTGCTGCTTCTGTCAACACGCTCTTCAGTGCCTCTTCTTTGCTGGACGGCGACAGCGAGGTCGGCGAGGGCGAGGTGGGCGAGGAGAGCGTGGAGGTGGCGGCGGTGGAGGCGGAGGAGGACGAGGAGGAGTTTCCGTCGGGGAGGCACTCCTCGCAGCAGCAGCAGCAGCAGTCCATGAAGGCCTGGCCCAGCGAGCGGCACAAACACAGCAGCAGCACCGGCGTCGCAGAGCAACGCACGAACAGCAGGAACTGCCCGATGAGGCCCAGCGCTGGCAGAGTCAGAGCCGGCAGGGCGGCCGTCACCGGGACGGAGAGGTACGCCAGCGTGATGTGACAGACGCTCTCCGGGAGGTTGCAGGCCACGTACAGGGCGGTGAGCGCCATGACGGTGGAGCGGAGTCGCTGCTGCCTCACGTGCTGCTTCTTCTTCGTCGATGTGGAGGATGAGGACGAGGAGGAGGAGCATCGCACCGTCACCTTCTCGCTGCCGGCCGGTAGCCGCTGCGCCAACACGTGTCGCGTCACCAAGTCGCAGGCCAGCGTGAAGAGCAGCGGCAGGCAGAGGTAGCAGCCGAAGAACCACCACATGCGGGCCTCGTGGTAGGTCAGCACCAGGGAGTAGATGCTCTCCGGGAGTTCGGCCGAGGGCTCGCGGACGCAGACGTCCACCTTAAAGGCGTCGGTCCGGGTTCTGAAGGCGGCCATGAGCGAGCCGGAGGCCTGGTTCTGCTGCAGCTCGGTGGGCAGCGCCGGCAGGCTGACGGTCTCCTGCAGCAGCTGCCACAGCAGCAGCTCCGGAGCCGCCAGCACCATGGAGCCCACAAAGATCACGGCCAGCTTGGACAGGATGGACTGGCAGGGCTCCACCTTCGGCGTCTGGTGGGGTCCAGGACCGGTGGCGGCGTGGAAGCGATCGATGCTCAGAGCGCAGAGGCTGAAGGTGGCCACGCCCAGAGAGGTCACCTGACACAGAGACAGGAAGTCAGAAATCAGGCACTTCATCATCACTCTGAGCTCCATTTAGCTCCGGTCACATCCTCCCTCACTGTTGTCTGTTACTAACGGTGTGTTTGGACAGTTTTTGGCAAACAAATGGTGTCAATTAGTGTGGATTTTAAAGCTAACATGACCTTCAAAGGGTTAAAGTTTGAGGATTTCCTCTGGTTTGTTCTGTGAAGCTTCAGGCGAGACGACTGTCTGAAAGCCAAAGTTAAAAAAACAAAACGTCTTCCTGTGAACATTCAGACGCTCACAGAGGGAACAGAAAGGCTCCATGTTTAACACCTCTGAGGACAGTTATCGGCACATTAACGTCTCGGGAACACTGAGGATCATTACTGAGGCCGGTCCTCCGTCTGCTCAATGACCTCAAACAGTTAAGACACAACTCAGGATAATTAACACGGAGCCTTAATTAGCATGAGAATAGCTGAACCAACAGAGCACCGGGCAGCTGGCAGCCTGACCCGCTCTAAACACTCTAAAACACGTTAATTAATTAGCCGGAAATTCATTCACTCGTTAGCATGAGAATAGGAGCAGCGACAAAGAGCAGCAGCCTGACCCGGTTAAAGACCGGCTCTGATTCCACTTCAGCGACGAGAAGCTCCGAGAGGCTTTAAAACAACTGTTGGCTCGACTTTAATCACAGCTTCCTCCGTCTGAAGGTTACTGTCTGCTGCCTTTGAGCAGAAATCACCAGGAAATGATTTAAACTCCAGCAAGTTAATAACTCAGCGGAGAAACTATTAAACCTCTGAAATGCACCGGCTTTCTTTGCTTTAGAACCAAACATTTATAGATTGATTGATTCTAAAAAACAATACTCAAAAACAGTTGCCAGAAGAGTCTAAAGAAGAATCTAAAACACAGACAATATGTGCACATGTTGACACTCTGACCTCCAAAATGTCATTTTGTGTCATTTTGTGTAATATTTTTCAACTTTTTGTCATTTTTTTCAGTCATTTGTTGTTTTTTTTCATCTTTGTATTACATTTTTGCATCTGTTTGTGTCATTTTGTATCATTATAACTGTGTTATTCTGCATTGAAGACATTCCTGAATTCTCTCCTTCTTTATGTTGTTCTGTTTCCATAAAGGTGCAGGACTTTATATTGCATTATAAAATAAGGCGAGGAGAAACGAGCTCAGAGTTCAGAGGGTTAATCAGGGTTCTGTTTACATGATGTAATCTGAAGGGCATTTCTGTGGATGCTGAAAAAGCTGAAAAAGCATTTTCAAAAAATAATTCAGACCTCATGTAACCCAAATGTTCATTAATTGAATAAAACAACGGTCTGTTTTCAGATTAATCATGTTTGCAGCTCTTTTGTTAGTGCTAGCTGCAAAACTTTAAACATCAGGAATGGACTTGTGGAGCCAAAACAGTGAGACAGAACGCTTTTAAAGTGATCTGCAGCTGATGCTCTGCACTAACAGAGGAGCTCTCTCTGCTTCTGCTTCATTCAGACCATTGTGTGAACAATCATTTCTCTTTCTCCAGTTGCTCAGCACCTGTGAACCGACTCTCCGGCTGCCGATGGCTTCAGTTCTGCGGTTTTAAGGGAGAACAGAGGCTCCGTGCTGCTTCATAAGCGACGGCTGAAGAGGCCAAACAGCTCATAACAGCACGACTGTTCAAAGGAGCTGCACAAACTGAGGAGGAACAAAGACACAAACGGCCCATTCATGTCGGACCTGCAGCTCTTTCAGACGCTGGAAATAACTGACAGAGCGAAGCCGGTTTTAACCTGTTGGAGCGTCTCTCTGTCTAAATATAACCGATTAGAGTTTTAGAGCATAAACACTAAACTGACACGCTTTGATCTGCGTTGAGTTTAACTCTCTGACCTCTAAACTGTTTGCTTCACTGTTGGTTCACTTTTCGCTGCAACATAAAGTCCAGCAGCTCTGTGGAAACAGAACAACCACGACTAGAAGGAGAGAGAACTCAGAGATGTGTTCTGTGCAGAATAACAGTTAGAATGACAGAAATCAGGAAAAATGTTGTTTCTTCTAATAATGTATTAAAAAAAAAATCCAAAACCCTCAAATCAACATGTTCAATGATTTTCCAAGTGTAAACAGACGTTATTGTACCAACATTGGAAAAACTGGGCGCTCCACAAACTACAGATGTTTAACTATTCACATTCCTACAACCTCTAAACCACTTTGCTGATCCACAGGTGGTACCAACATCAGCATGATTTTTAAAAATGCTAAAAATCAACATTTGCTCGAACTAGAATCTGTAAAAAAAAAAACTACAACAAAAAAAAAAATAAAAATGCTGTCTTCCTTGGTTCAACAGTGAAGTCATTAATGAGTCAGCTGTGACCAACAGTCAGGTGATAAAAAATCTGAGAGTTTTCGGCTGAACTGCAGGAAGTGTTGAAAACAATTATAGAAACTAATTAAATATATAAGTAGTTAAATATCTATAGTATGTGGAGCCGCTGTTTATTTTCAGTGTTGGTAAAACTGGTAAACACGTGAAACTTTGAACACGTTACAGTTTTTCTTTCTAAATTTTGGAAAAATAAATAATTTCTGTCATTTAACTGTGTCACACTGACAGAAGACATTTAGAAGTTTTCTCTCCGTCTTCATGTCGCTCTGGTTCCAGAGGTTCTGGTTGCTCCTAATTAAACTCAAATCTCTGTGTTTGCTGATTTAAAATTAAATTCGAGTTGATGAAATTGTGTAACCTACCTTGAGTTCAGGATTTCTATCTAATAAAAACTATTTCACAGTTTCACACACACACAGTTCTGCTTCCTGTCCAGGTGTTTGTACTTGTTCACGTGTCCTACTGTGTCTAAAACCTCCTGGACCGGATAGAAACACAACAAACACAACAAGACTCTTAGACCAACACCTGTCTGTCACGCGCCCCTGCTCACCTCCAGGTAGGGCACGAGCCTGCAGGACAGGTCTCCTAGCAACCGCTTCAAGGTGAGCTCGTGGAACACGACCACCGGCAGGCAGAAGAAGAGCACGAGGAAGTCCCAGAAGGCCAGGCCCGCGAGCACGCAGTTCCACGCGCTCTTCAGGTAGAAGCTGTGCCACACGATGCACATGAGCGCGAGGTTGCCCACGATGCCGGCGGCGAACAGCACGAGCGCCAGCAGCATGACGGTGTAGGCCAGGTACGAGCCGTCGGTCACCGGGAACAGCGGGTTCAGGAGCCCCGGAGCCCCGGCCGAGGAGCCGTTCCCCGGCGGGGCGGCGGTGCGCCGGGCGGCCCGCGGGGTGGTGAAGTACCCGGCCGGGTCGTCGAGGCTGCCGGGCGGCGGCGGAGGCTCCCTCCTCCGGGACCCGCCGCCGCCTTTGGCTCCTCGGGCGACCCGCTCCACGGAGCCCCTCTCCGGGGACACGGACGCATCCTCCGGCTCGGACCGGAGCCGCCGGAGCTCCGCGGGGCGCAGAACCAGAACCAGAACCAGGAGCAGGAGACACCGAACCGGACTCATTGTTTAAAGGAAACCAAGTCGTCCGTGTGGTGAGTTTGTTCCACAGACATGAAGACAGAAGGAGAATGGAAAGTCCTGCAGCAGCTGTGTGACCCTGAACTCAGCACGGAGCCTCTTTATCCGACCACAAGAACCGGAGACTGAACCGGAGACTGACCGGAGCAGCCTCAGGACCGAACACAGCGACCCGCTGGGTCAGAGCAGACAGCGCCCCCTGCCGTCGGACCGTCGACTAGGTGCGCAACTTTTATTTTTAAAGGTTTATTCCACCAAACTTACGACTGTTTGGACAAATGTTTAGTTTTAAAGGTTTATTTCACACTAAATATTACTTTCTAATCAACAAGTTATAGTTTTATAGATTTACTCCCCCAAAATATTACCTTCCGACTTAAAAGTTCTAATTTTCCAGTTATTTAAAAGATTTAAAGTTTGTTTTCCACCCAAAATATTATTTAATCCAAATACTGTCAGTAGTAAAGTTTTATTCCAACAAAATACTACTTTTGAAGTAATATTTTATCTAAATACTCACTTTATTCTACATGTCTTATTTGAAAGTTTGCAAAGAATAAACTGTTTGTTTGAACCAAATTCTGAGCTCCGTGGTGCAACCAGGACACATAACTGAGAAGAGACGAGCACAGAAACACTTAAAATGTTCGACTTGACTCCTTGTTTTTTTCTTCAATTTTTGCAAAATAAATATTTGAAGAAATTCAACTTCTTTCAAACGACACAGAAGAGATTTCGGAGTTCTTTCTACTTCAAAAAAAGAAAGAAAGAAAGAAAGAAAAAGCTCAGAAACTGCTGAGTTCAGACGGTTAATATTTCATGTTTTAATTAATGAGCTCATTTCTCCACTCGTTGGATTTTCCTGCTCGTGTTTTTTAAGGACAGCTTTGTTCGTCTGCAGCTGAGATTCAGTTCATTTTGAAACCAGCTGCTGTTTAAAAAAGAAGCTCCGACATCAAAATATCTCTCAGTGGTTACTAAAAATAAATCTGATAGTCTGAGTGATGTTCATCTTCACTCCATGTCTGTGTTTTCAGCAGAGGTCTGGTCTCTGCTCGCTGTTACAGTCTGAGGAAACAAAAAACAACAAAACAAGATTCCTCCTGGTCCTTAAAGTCCAGAACTGTGAGTCAACTGAAGCACAAAGACTCCATTTCCCACAATCCTCAGCTCCTCAGGGAGGACGTCAGCTTCCTTCGGGCATCCTTGTGTTTCTTGCGGTACTCCTGTGGATGAAAAGGGAAAGTGGATAAATAAATATTTTCCCAAATCAGTTCATGTCTTCAGTAAGTCTGAAGTCTGCAGGAAATAAGTTTAAAATAGAAAACAAACATCCAACGAAAAGGAAAGTCTCTGCGTCTAAAAACATAGACAGTCAATGAACATGTTGAATCACTGAACTCAAAACCCGCCGACATGTTTGAAGGGCATCTAATCTT